CTTCTTCATCACATCTTCATCATCGCCATGTAACTGTTATCATCATCTTCGTCAACATTTCCAGCATCGTCGTCGTCGTCATCATTTTTTTTGTCAAGAGGAAGTAAATTTGAAAAATTTATAAAATAATTCTCCTTAATTCCACTACCACCACCATCATTGTTACTTGCGGAAGCATTACCATTACTCATTTCATTCATTCCATCTTTCCGTTTCTTCTTCCTATCGTTACCATAATTTTTCATTCTTTTTCTATTTGTCATCTTCGTCATCACAGCTGACGATGACGTCATTTCTATTTCACCGTAATTTATCTCCAAGACGCTTCCGGTTCCGATTTGCGGGGCATTCCTCAGTTTTCGTTTCTTATTGACGGGCGGCCAGTATTTCTGCGGCCTGGGATGATCGTGATGACCTTTGCCCTGGAAATAAACCATGTCACCGCATGACCTCCAAAAGTGAGTCACGGGAAATCCGGATTGACCTCTGCACGGAGTGAGTTCAAGTTTTCCGGAGCATCCAGGTTTTGGACAAGGTTTTTCTGGAAAATTTATGAATATTATTGTTATCATTAGAAGTAGTAGTAGTAGTAATAGTAGTAGTAGTAGTAGTAGCTGTAGTAGTAGCAGTAGTAGTAGTAGTAGTAGTAGTAGTAGTAGTAGTAGTAGTAGTAGTAGTAGTAGTAGTGTTGGTAGTAGTGGTAGACTTGTAATTAAAATTTGACGAACCTAACTGTTTAGATCTAGCTTTGTCGCAGATAGCTGGTCTGTAACAATCGTACATTTGTGTGTTTGTTGTTGTTGTTGATGTTGGGATGACGTCATTTTGTTGATGAAGTTTGTCAACTTTGCTGTTGGCGTTGATGTTATTAGTGTTAATATTGTTCATGATGTTGTCATGTTTAATGTCATCTGTTTTATAGTTAGTTTCAATGTTACTGTTCTTGGTGTTTTCATTATTGTTGATGTAATTGTTGATGTTATTGTTGTTGCTTATGTTGTTGTTGTTGTTGTTGATGTTGTTGTTGATTTTGATGTTGTTGTTAATGTTTTCGTCGTTGATAAGGTCATTTTTGCTAGCGTTATTATTGTTGTTTTTATAGCATCTTTTGTTGCAGACCAAGACACCTAAAAATGTGTGTTGATCGTTCGATAAACATCATCAACAACAACAACATCAACAACAACATCAACAACAACATCAGCAACAACATCAACCACAACATCAGCAACAACATCAACAACAACAAAGACATCAACAACAGCAAAAGAAAGCCACAACAATCCAAATAACAACAACAATAGAAACGCACCAAGGCAAGATTTTTTCAAGATGGCAACATTGTGATTGTTTGTGTTCCTCATAGCCCAACCGCTATAATGCTTCTGGGCCTCTACACCTAAAATTATGAATCATAAATTATGAATTAAAAATTATGAATTAAAAATTATGAATTAAAAATTATGAATTATAAATTATAAATTATAAATTATAAATTATAAATTATGAATTATAAATTATAAATTATGAATCATAAATTATGAATTATAAATTATGAATTATAAATTATGAATTACAAATTATAAATTATGAATTATAAATTATAAATTATGAATTATAAATTATGAATTATAAATTATGAATTACAAATTATAAATTATGAATTATGAATTATATATTATAAATCAGAAAACATGAATCATATTCATGAATCACGGCCCGAAGATTACCAGTCAAAATCCTCAAAACCCTGACTTCTTATCGGTTGAGCGGTAGTATTTAAAATGATAACACCAAATAATTAAATGGTAATAATAATAATAATAATAATAATAATAATAAAATAATAATATTAACTAACTCATCAGGGCAGAATATATCTTTTGGACGTGTCCGTCTGGCCAGGCATCAAAAGTAGAGTGCAATGAAGGATGCTAAAAATAATAATAATAATAATAGATAATAATAGTAATAATAATAAAAAATAATAAATAGTAATTAATAATAATAAATAATGATAATAAATAATAATAATAACGAGGCTTACAGTGGGCAAAACTTTATCGCGTATGTCCCATTTCAGCTGCTTGCATTTCGTGTTGCTCTTGTTGTTGTTATTATTGTTGTTGTTGTTGTTGTTGTTGTTGTTGTTGTTGTTGTTGTTGTTGTTGTTATTGTTTACCGTTTTCTCGATCGGAACCATGCTGATTGTTCGCTAATTAAGAAGGCGGTTTGTCACTTCAGCCACTCATAAAATTGATGTACAGTAATGATAATAATTATTATTATTATATTATATTATAATATATTATATTATATAATAATTAAAGTTTCTAAATTGATAAAAAAATATTATATACGTGTGTCGTCGTAAAAAGGTTTTATTTTCGCAAAAAGTTTCAATTAAAAAAGAAGCTACATCGCTTTTATACGCCAATTTTCGTTCTACAAACTCCGCCCACATAATGATAATTACAACGTCGTCAGCCAATCAGAAGTCGAGGTTTCATAACGTGGGCGCATACGAATGAAAGGCTTATTGTGATTGGTGCAAAGTTTGAGCGTTGTTTTTGTTGATTGTTAAAGAGTTTGTTTTGAAAGTTGGATGGATGGATGGATGGATGGATGGATGGATGGATGGATGGATGGATGGATGGATGGATGGATGGATGGATGGATGGATAGATGGATGAATGGATGGATAGATGGATAGATGGATGAATGGATAGATGGATAGATAAAAAATTTAAAATTATGGCCAAAAAAATATTTACTTACATTTTATAGTAAAATATTTGACATAAAAGATTTAACAAATAAACCGAACGAACGATCAAATTAATGTATGAATGAATGAAAATACAAACGAACGAACGAACGAAAGAAAGAATCAAACGACAGAGTGAATGAATAAAGGAACAAATGAGTAGTTAAAGTTTGTAATTATCAAAAGATATTATTCTCTCAGCGACTATGATGATATAGATAGAAGCCGTTTAACCAGTCTAATACTTTATCGGTTTATCTTAATGGTGATGTTGTTGTTGTTGATGATGTTGTTGTTGATGATGGTGATGATGTTATTGTTGTTGATGGTGATGATGTTATTGTTGTTGATGATGATGGTGGTGATGATGTTGTTGTTGTTGATGATGATGATGATGATGATGATCTTGTTGTTGTTGTTGTTGATGATGATGATGGTGAAGATGTTGATGACAATGATGATGACGTTGATGGTAAAATGATTACTGCCGTGTTCATCGGTCACCCTAAGTGGCTACTAGATATGATGCTGGTCATCCCACACACACAACACACACACATACATATATACACACACACACACAACACACACACACACACATGCATATACACATACATACATACATACATACATACATACATTCATATATACAAATAAACATACAAATTAGATACATCGTGTTTCGTTTGTTTGCCTGTCAATTTAATTTGTTTGCTTACAACCACTTACATTTTTGCATATAAGGACGACGACGATGATGATGATGATTGTTGATTGATTGTCTGTAGAAGTGAATGAATGAATGAGTTGTTGATGAATTAATGAATGAGTAAATGAATTAATGAAAGATCGATTTCAGTCAATCAATCAGTCAATCGCGATGTTCTACAGAGCTCCTCAATGAATTTTGCAAACAGATGGGTCTTGAGATTCGCTCTGAACTTTGCAAGTTATGGAGAAGTATTCCGAGAAGGAGGCAGAGGGTTCCAGAAAAAAGGACCAGAAAAAGCAAAAGCAGATTTAGCAAAGGAGTGTTTAACACGAGTTAAGAAAAAGCGAGAACCAGAAGACGATCGTAAACCGGGGCGTTTTTGTTCAATTAATATATCTGATAAATACTTAGAAAGAAATTTAGATTGAGACTTGTACATTAATGAGCAATATTCAAAAATTATTCTATATTTTTTAGGCAGCCATTGCAGTGAAACAAGATGGAGAGGTATTTGAGAAAAGATAGAGGCACGGACAACCCCCGAACGAGCAGCAGAGTTAAACTTGAAAGATGGAGATCTCCTATTGTGTGCAGCAAATGAATGACTCATTGATAAATTTTACTTCTAGAATTAAATTCTGATTGCTTGGTCAAATTGAACAAATGAAAATAAATAAATAAATGAATGAATGAATGAAAGAACGAACGAACGAATGAACGAACATCCGAAATAACTCATGACCCGCAGTTTCAACAAGAATGAAAACACATGAATGAAACTTGATTCTTGCTATCAAACATTTCAATTTCTGGAGCACAGAATACACAAAGTATTTTATCTCCGAAGCATTCGCCAGGAAGCGAAAAAACATCATCTTTTTTTAAAGAAAAAAAACTCTCTACCGACAAAATATTAAAAAATTTAAAGTCATCGTATTAGTGATACGATAAGTTTAATTGCATGATATATCTCATAGTATCATGTAATTCCTCCATGGATATGTATCCATGCTCCCCACTAGCATACTGATATATATCTCTAAAAATGTCTAATCAATCGATTAATTAATTAATATTAATTAGATTTTAGATTCATAAATCATTCAATCATTAGTTATACAAATGTGAGAAAAAAAATTTAAAGTCATCGTATTAGTGATACGATAAGTTTAATTGCATGATATATCTCATAGTATCATGTAATTGTATCTCTGCACTCCATTATTACACACTCCGGAACGCACATCCCTAGAGCTGGGACGCCTATCGGTATAGTCGAGTCGATTATTACCGAGCCGATTGTTACCGAATCGGTTATTATTAGTAATGTCGTTTCGTTTGTGCGTGTCGGTATTATCGAATCCGACATTCGAGTTACTACTGTTACTACTGTAATTACTTTCGTACGGTAAAATGCTGCTGCAACTCTGATGATGGTGATGAATATAGGAATTATTATTATTATTATTGTTGTTGTTGTTGTTGTCCTGATTATTATAATTGTTGTTGTTGTTGCCACAGTTATTAATTCGACAGCAGCTTCCATCCAAACAACAAAAGACAACCTCGCCATCTCCATTATTAACGCCGCACATCCCTATTTCGTCGCAGTAGCCGATGCTGACGTCACGAAAACAAGAAGCACTCCCGCTCTGTTGATTGATATCCCGACCTGGATTCTGTTTCTTCCATTTTGTTCGGCGATTTTGGAACCAAATTTTAACTTGAGTTTCGGTCAGCTTTAACGAAAGAGCCACCTTTAATCGTTCGTTCACCGATAGATATCGATTCGCGGAGAATTTTTTCTCCAGAGAGTTTAGCTGGTCGCAAGTAAAAGCAGTTCTGGAACGTCGCGAGTCGCCTGCGATGATCGAATGTTGTTGCTGCTGCTGCTGTTGTTGCTGCAGCTGTTGTCGTTGCTGCAGCTGCTGTTGTTGCTGCAGCTGCTGTTGTTGCTGTTGTCGTTGCAGCTGCTGTTGTTGTTTGACGGTTGGGGTAAAGTTGCTACAACTGGTGTAATTTTCATTATTTATGATACTGTTGTTATTGATGCTGTCGTTCGCGTTGATTTCGTCACCACAAGAAGTTATGTAGTTGGTCGTTGGTATTGTTGTTGCTGTTGTTGTTGATGTGGTTGTTGCTTTTGATGATGTTGATGTTGTTGTTAATGATGTTGATGTTGTTGTTGAGGTTGTTGTTGATGATGTTGTTGTTGATGAGGCGTTAGCCATATCATTACTATTATCAAAACTACAATTATTAATATCATTATCAAGACTATTATCATGGAAACTAACATTATTATTATTATTATTAATATTATTATTATTATTCCACCTCAGTATATGTTCAACAGAAAATTCCGAGAGCATAATAGCAATAAAAATAGCTAAATAATTGCTATTATTATTATTATAAACAATTCAAACAATTATAATTATAATAATAAGTTATAACTATAAATATAATTATATTATATGTAATTTTATTCATTCTTCCGAACCGACTGACCGAGTTAATGAAAAGTCTTTAAGACGAAAAAAAATACATGGAGAACGATCGCCCCAATACAAACATACATTCATACATACATACATACATGCATGCATTCATTCATTCATACATACATAAATTCATATATATTATATACATACATACATACATACATACATTCATTCATTCATTCATACATACATACATACATACAGGCAGACAGACAGTTGAACATACATATATTCGCATTAGAAGAAACAGATAGATTAAGAGAAAGAAAGGGAGAGGAGAGAAACATAGAACTTGCATAACTGCACATGAGATTTAACGCATAAGAACATAAGAACATGATAAAAGATAAAGACAGAAATACAAAAAAACATACTTTCCAACCGGCATACAAACACACATACAAACACACAAGCACACATACAAATAGACAAACACACAAGCACACATACAACTACAGATGCAGTGGACAAAACGGTGATTTGGCAACATATTCACCTTACACTTATATCAGTAGTATACGAACACATAAAAACAAACATTCACAAAGAAACAAACAAACACACGCACACAAAGACACATACAAAACAAAAAGAAATTGCTTACAACTCCCGGTATTAATCCACTCCTAATTGAAAATATCGCTTCCAGTTAATAGCGGAGTTAAATGAATGAAATAGTATAGATGATCCTCATTCTGATATTCTATTGTATTGCAGCTGGTATTTGTTTCGGTATATGTGGTATGTAAGTGTGTGAGTGTATGTGTGAATGTTTGGTATGTATGTGTGTGAGTGTATGTGTGAATATGTGGTATGTATGTGTGAGTGTATGTGTGAATGTGTGGTATGTATATGTGTGAGTGTATGTGTGAATGTGTGGTATGTATATGTGTGAGTGTATGTGTGAATGTGTGGTATGTATGTGTGTGTGTATGTATGTATGTACGTCTGTATGTTTGAATGAATGTGTGCTTGTATGTATCTGTATTTCGGTTTTTATGGCTGATAGTTGCTGCTGTATCAGATTGCATGGAAGGGATCGGCTTAAAGTAACCAAATGAGCTGCATTCGGTAAATTTTTTTTAAAACTAATTAAGAGAAAAATAAATTTATCAGCTAAATTAATTAGACATTAATAAAATATAGATATAGACATTAATAATGACAACAACAACAATAATAACAATATTATTATTATATAATAACAATATAATCATTATTATTGTTGTTGTTGTTATTACATTTCAATCATTACATCCATTACATTACAACCTTTCAAACATTTATATATATATATACATATATATATATATATATATATATATGCCGAAAACGCTGTGATCTTTATAAATAATTGTATTTATGATAGTCTAAACCCAAAATATATAAATATATATGTAATATATAATGTATATATATTTGCATATAGAATTAGTACATAGGTCATTTATAAAAATTATATATATATATATATATATATATATATATATATGTTGGTAAAAGACCATAATTTTTACAATATTCTATAAATTCTACCGAATGTTTGGCGTTAATATGTTTGTAGTTCGTTTTTTCGATTTTTCTCACTAAAGTTTTTTGGTGAACTTTTAGTTCATTAAAATTCAAAATAAACTTATTTTTCGAATTCATGCTGCAAATAAGGCCATATTTCGATTTCGAATAAATCATCATCAGTGCTCCTTGCTGTATATATAGGGAAATATTGACTTTGTCAAGATGAACTTTGACGTTGTAAAAATTAACTTTGGTGTTGTAAAATTGAACTTTGATGCGAATTAGGTGTCAGGTTTCTTAATTGGCTGGTCATCTTGTTGGTTGGAAGTGAGGTTGTCATTTTTTTTTCCAACCCGGCGCTTAACCAACAACGAAAAAAAAGAAGTAATAAAAACTAGCATCGTAAATAGTGACAAAGAAGAATATGATGCTATCGATGAAGAAAAGGAGACCAAAGAAGATGACCAGCCAATTAAGAAACCTGACTCCTAATTCGCATCAAAGTTCAATTTTACAACACCAAAGTTAATTTTTACAACGTCAAAGTTCATCTTGACAAAGTCAATATTTCCCTATATATACAGCAAGGAGCACTGATGATGATTCATTCGGAATCGAAATATGGCCTTATTTGCAGCATGAATTCGAAAAATAAGTTTATTTTGAATTTTAATAAACTAAAAGTTCACGAAAAAACTTTAGTGAGAAAAAACGAACTACAAACATATTAACGCCAAACATTCGGTAGAATTTATAGAATATTGTAAAAATATATATATATATATATACATAGCTATATAAGGAAGATATGTAGAGAACCAACCAATATAATTATTAATGTTATTATTAATATATTATTATTCCAACCAGACCATAATATAGTTAGAAATTAATACAGTTTAAACAGTTGAGTTTTATATCTCGTAAATTTTACAAATGAATGAATGAAGGATGACATAACGTAATAAAGAATGAATAATAAATGAACGAATGAGCAAATGAACGAACTCAACATTTGTGTCGTGAAGGAATAGATGAACGAATGAATGGATGAGTGATCGATTGAATGAATGAATTAACGAATGAATGAATGAATTAACGAATGAATGAATGAATTAACGAACGAATGAATGAATGAATGATTGGATGGATGAACGAATGAACCGAAACTATAAACAGAATAAAGAGTAAAAAAAAACTAAGAGTTCAAAATCAAATCAAAGAAAACAAAAATGAACAAAAAAGTACATTTAAAAAAAGAAAACAATTACATAATAAAATAAGTAACTTTAAAATAAACGCTATCTACACTATCTTGGCTCTTTTTTTGGGTCTTTCAGGGGGCGGGCTCTGCTGGCTGGCTAGGGCCCTAAATGCCTCAGCCACTAAATGCGGATGTGCCAGTACCATATCCTTCCACCCGGTCGTCTCCATGACGTCGGTTGCGTGGCTGCAGGGGTAAGAAGAAATTTATCTCAAGTGAGAGACTGAGAGAAAAAATGATTGAGAAATCGAGAGAGAGAGAAAGAGAGAGAGAGGAAGAAGAAAGAAAATGAATGGTAGAGAGACACAGATAAAGAATGTAATAGTCAAGTTAATGATTAGATGAACAAACAACAAACAAGCAGACGAACAAGCGAGCAAAACAAACAAACGAACGAGCGAACAAACAAAACCAACCCATTTATAAAATCAATCGCATGCGTTTTCAACTGCTCAGCACTGTGCAAGTCGGCAAGAACGAAGATGTCAGACACATTATCAACACTCAGGTTGCTGCACAGGGCCTCCTCACACATCACTTTTAACCGGTCAAGGGCGTACTGGGGGAAAGTTAGTGTAGTTAGGGAAGTTAGTGTAATTAGGGAAGTTAGTGTAATTAGGAAAGTTAGTGTAATTAGGGAGTTAGTGTGAATAGGGAAGTTAGTGTAATGAGTGTGTAATTATTACACCTTATTTTGATAAGCTAGTTCAACCACTACGAGTATGAAAACATGTTACCGGATAGAGAACCAAAAACGTTGAATAACCTTATCGGCGGCGGCCAGCAGTTCATCGGCCATTTTATTTAAATTAGGAGCCTTGCCAGTGTAAATGTACCTCAGCATTTCGTACAGGACATCTTGGTCGACGTCTGTTATCTCGACGCGGTTCTGCCGTGTGTTTGTGTGAGAGTGAGTGAATGAACGAACGAACGAACGAACGAACGAGTGAATGAATGAATGAATGAGTGAATGACCAACTTGTTTCCTCTCCTCCATTTCATGTTCGAACATAGCGTTGAAGACGACGGAGCGAGCTGATTGGTTGGTGTCAGACATTTTTTTTTAAACAACAACACCCCACAAATCACATAGAGAAAGCATTTCACACTGACAACCAATGAAAAAAACTAACTTCCCAGCCAGCCGATCAAAACTCACACACACACACACACAAAAACATCCATACTACCTAATCTACACTAACTGACCGGCCAGTATGGCTTTGTGAACCGGGAACTGTTTGTCCTGAACGTGGAGGGTGGTGTCGCTGAATTGAGACCTCTCAAATAGGAGGCCAAGGTCCTCACTCATGTGACAGTGAGGAACTTTTACCGGCATCAAACTCGACTGGCCCGTGACGTTCACCGTCTCACCCACAACACTTACCTGTGCGTGTGTGTGCGTGTGTGTGTGAGAGAGAGAGAAAGAGAGAGAGAGAGAGAGAGAGAGTGTGAACAAACAGTTGGATGAGTATCATTTACTCATTCAGTCATTCAATCATGCATCTATCTTTCTAGCTCTTCACTAATTAGTTCATCCATCCATTCATATACATACACTCGGTTATCCGATAATTCACTCGTTCGTTCATTCATCCAAGCAAAAAATCCACCCATCAACAGACAAACACACACACACACGCAAACACACACGACACACACACCTCGCAAAAGATGGTTAATTTATCCTCAGGTAGCAAGCCATTCGTCTCATCCATCAAGAAATCTCTCCTTATAAATTTCTTGAATCCCCAATCCTTCCCTTGCACGAACCTGTACGCTCTTTGGCTTTCTGTGTATGCGTATGTGTGTGTGCGTGCGTGCGTGTGTGTGTTGTGGGCAAATTCAATCAATTTATCAATCAATTAACTAATTAACCAGCCAACCAACCAATCCGCCAAACAACCACTTAACCAAAAAATCAATCAATGAACTAACTAGCCAGTCAGCCAATCAACAAACCAATCAAACCCGCCAACAAATCAGCCAACCAACCAGCTAACCAATCAACCAGCCAACCAACCAACCAACCCATAGCTTTAGTCTCCTCCCTCTTATTATTGAGAATCGAGAATTTAAACTTTGCCCTTACTTCCGCTTTGTTGCATGAAACTAGGAGGAGATAGAGAGATAGGTAGTCTTTACTTTCTTCATCGAGGCCTTTTGGATTCACCCTTAGACACCTTTGTTTAAATTATGACGTGCGTGCGTGCGTGTGTGCGTGTGTGAGTGAATGAGCGTGTATGCATATGAAATGATTGTGAATGTGAAAAAAAAATATCATGAAAAGAAAATTAAAAATAAACTAACCAATCAATCAACCAACCAATTAACCAATCAACCAATCACCTGACCAACCATTTTAATTTATCATTGGCCCCGGCAGAGAATGTGGAACTTTTGAGGACCTCGCCCATCTCCTCTCGGCAGAAACTGAAGTTATTTATAGTCCATATGTACGAAAATTTTACCACTTTCACCTAAAAAATAATTATTATTTGTTTATTATTATTATTATATCATGTATATTATTATTATAATTATTAATACATATTTATAACATGTATTATAGTTGTGAAAATATCATAATTCCACAATATTATTAAATAATAATTTCATAATTTCGTATTAAAATATAATACAACCTGAGTGTAGCACCAATTTTCGGCCATAGGACACAACGAGTCCATGGGCGGTGGTGTCGGCATCCTGGATGAAGCCATTGTAGTGTCGACTCGACTGCTTTCACCGCTGACTTCCATGACGTTGAGTATGTTAGTGATGCACCGGCCAGTTAGGATTAGGAATAAATGGAGATTATCAAGAAATGAGATGATTCTTAGTCTGGTTGGTTCTGTTGGTAGATTCTATAGTTGATGTTGTTGTTGAATCAATATATTGTTGTTGTTAATGTCAGATTGAAACTATTATTGATATTATTATTGTTGTTGATGTTGTTGTTGATGTTATTATGGTAGCTTTGTTGTTGCAGCCAAATTTTGTTTAAACCCTGTTTGTATGAATGAATGCCTCTTCTTGCCTAGGTAGATTTTTGAAAAGTTTTAAAAACCAAATTATTAATTGAAATCAAATTTAAATTTATCTAAGGATAGTTTAGTTAGCAGTCCAACTTAGTTTAGTAGTATTGTTTAATTAAGAAGGATTGGTTTGATTAGTGAATGATCTATTTATTATAGAGCTGAACTTGAATAAAAGTCAAAGCAAATGAACAATTAAATTATAAATATACATAATAAACATTACATAAAAACAGATAGAACCATACATATTTTATTATCAAAATGAGACATTTCATCATCTAGTAAATTTAATTAATTAGTAAAACAGTTTATTTTTATTTATAATAACTGTATTCATTTTAAAAATGTTAAATAAAAACTTAAATTTAATGTATGTATGTAAAATTAGACTATTAGTGAATTGGCTAATCAAAAAACTTATTTAAAAATCACTCTAGACAGGAAACAATCAATAAATTATCAACCAGTAAAAATATTTAAAAATTAATTAAAAATTGTCTGAAAAAGTGAAAAAGACAATACTGACTTTTTTAACTGATATCAAGAATACTTTAAACATACATGAATGGTAAAACCGTAGATCTACATCAGACAGATGCCGGCCAGTTGGTTTAGAGATCAGTTCAGGAAAATTCAAAATACAAAAATTAGGCAAACTAGTAGGAGTTAGTTAGAACAGAACAATGTGCTTAACAAACTAAACTACTAAACAGAATAGAATACTATCATAAAAAATTGTAAATTTTAACATATAATTGAAAATATTATATAAACCGATGAAAATTAGTAAATAATAGGAAAAAATTAGTAATAAAAATGAACCATTAATGGAAATTTTAATAGCTTTGTTTATTGGAAAATATTCCGAATGATGAAGGAAGAAAATATTAATGTTGATAGGAACTTATAATGTAATATAATTTTTATCGATTTATCGCTTAAACTCATTAAATTATATCATTTAATAATTTTATTTAAACAATTTCATAATTTTAAACTATTGCTAGAGTCTAAATATTATGAATTTTGTTAAATTTGAGACGGTAATTTTTTACTCTCACGTAGGTTCACTTTTATTACCCTTTAAAAATTAAAAACCAAAGCTACTTCCGTGTAAATAATAATATTGGAGAAAATCTTATTTAACTCACGGACAAAAGAAATTATCAAGCCGTTATATTTTTTAGGAATTAAATATTATTTAAAATTACAAATAAAAACAAATAAATAAATAAAAATAAATGAATTTGAATGGGATCTTGTCTAAATCGCTGCTACCCGGAGTCTACTAGTAACAACAATAGTGGTACTTGCAATAGCGCCAGAGATACCCACCATCGTAATATTAATAAGAATAGCAATGCAACTGAAAAACAGCACCATCATATTCGTAAATCAACGAAAAAAAAGTCATCACAGAAATGTCATTATCACAAAATTTCAAAAGAAAAACGTTCCTCGAACTCAGACGAAACAAGATTTAATTTCCTCCAGCAAAATTATTCACATTTATTGAAAAATCCTAGTCGTCACTCTGTTCGTTCGGCCGAACGATCGCTCCCGAAGTTGCCGCACGGATTCACCGATCCGGAACATGACAGTCTTTCAAACGGCCACGGAGCTACAAGTAAGAATAATGTACAATCTTTCAGTTGTAATGATAGAAAATTACCTCAATTACTCTATGATACGAATCTCAACAAATGCTCAACACTTTTTGATGATTACGACGGTAGCGGAGGATTGTTTTTGTACCCCAGAGAAACAAATAACAGCGCATCCCTAAACGGATCGCCGGATCTATTACGTTACAAGAGGTTTCAAATATCAGATAGTGACATAGATATCGTTTTCGACGTCTACCGTGACCCATCAAGAGACGTCATCTTGACCGCTGGGGTCGAAAAGTTTTGTGCCGATTTGCTTCTTCGACCGGACGATTTTCGAATTTTAATTCTCGCCTGGTACTTTGGTGCCGAAACCATGTGTCGCTTTACTAGGTTCGAATTTCAAAGCGGTTTCAAGAAGTTGAGAGTTAGAAACATGACAGAACTACAAGACGTCATATTTCAGGGATGTACCTGTCAAATTGACTTCTCCAACGACGTACTGGAAAGCAAGCAGCAGAGCGACGACCAAACGCCAACATCTACCAAGGAAACGAAATGTGGTTTGAAAAGTCGTACAGAGAGTCAGTGCAGCACGGACAATGATCGATTGTACGGTTGCATCTATCCAAACTACCGCAGCTGCACGTGCAACCGAAGCACATTCACGAGGAGCGTCACATGCAGCAGAGACAAGTTCAGAGACCTGTACAAATGGGCCTACAGATTCTCTCTGGACATGGACACCGGCCAACGAACGCTCCCCCTCGATGTTGCCCTCTCCATGTGGCGGCTCATTTTCTCTCAAAATTTGAACTTCCTGTCTCAGAGAGCTACCAGCGATGCAACAAAATCGTCCCTACTGACACAAGCGAACCCAGATCTCAACAGCTCAGACCGCCGTGACGGAATCGTCTGTGATAGAACGGCTCAAACAAACACGTGTTGCCAATTTGATGACGTCACGAATATCGAATCAGCGAGAAACGAATCGAGGAAAGAAGCGAGACGACAAGCTAACAGATTTAACACGGAAACGTCTTCCCGCCAATCTCCTTCATCATCCCAGCAGCACCAACACCGACCTCTGTTGGCGCTCAAATCGGGGGCTAAAAAATCGTCAGCGACTCGTCTGATATCGATGTGGCTGCGGTTCCTGGAGGACGAGCGGAACGCGAACGTGCGCGGGATCACCAGAGACACGTGGGAGATGCTGCTGACCTTCGTCGAGATGGTGCGTGACGTCAGGCTGGATTACGACGAGAACGAAGCCTGGCCCAGTCTGTTCGACGACTTCGTCGAGTGGTTCAAAGAAGTCGGTGGTGGCGACGATGATGATAATGATGGTGATAGTGATGATGGTGGGGAGTGTGGCGGCGGTGATGATGATGTTCTCGTTGGTGGTGGTCTTAATAATGGCGATTGAAATTGGAGTTGCGAGTGAATGATTGGTTTGTTGGTTGATTGGTTGGTTGGTTGGTTGGTTGGTTGGATGGTTGGTTGGTTGGTTGGTTGGTTGGATGGTTGGATGGTTGGTTGGTTGGTTGGATGGTTGGTTGGATGGTTGGATGGTTGGTTGGTTGGTTGGTTGGATGGTTGGATGGTTGGTT